AGAAAATAAAAAGCATATCAATAATGGACGTAGATAAAAGACATAAACAATCATTTAATTATGTATTCATAACATTTACACAATGAACACACTATCAAAATATACTAATAACAATTATATCATTATACCTGTTAGAATAACCAAATATGATACAAAAACTATAAACCTAATATACATAAGGAGTAAATATAATACAACATATGAACTACCATGTATTAATATCCAAAACAATAATCAAATATCGACATGAACAGTTAACTAAAATAGTAATGCAGAGACTTTTGTATATGGAAAATTGATAAATACAGTAATTAAAATAAATGAATAGACAATAAAATACAATATTAAAATAAAATATACACAACCTAGCAAAAGAAAAATAACTAATAAACACAAAAAAATATCTATAATGTGTAAAATCTGTAACTAAGTTGTATAAACTTATAACACTCATTTCACATCCTAAAATAAACTATGAAACTACTGATGATTGTAAAAGAAATAACTTTGTTAACTAATAAATAATATAACTCAAATAACACAAATAAACTAATAAATTAATAACAAAAAAACACATATAAGAAAAACATACAACTTGATAAATAACCAAACAATAATGATAAATAAACGCGTACATGAAAAGTAAAATGTGACCAAAATTATGTGGTAACACACACAGCAAACATGTATAAGTAATATTTACACTACGTAGGATTAATAAAGTAAATACAACACAAAATAAAAACAACTACACCATAACGTGACTACTAACAAAAATTTTAGCAAAAACATAATAAATACTAAATCACAATAAGTATAGCAATACACAAATTGAGATGTGAAAGAAAGTTGAGTAAGAATACATTGCATAAAATATAAAACTCACAAACTACAAAAATATTTCAACTAAATACGTAACTATAATACAATATATAAAAATAAAAAAAATCAAAGCTAAACAAACACACACATTGTAACAACCTTTAATAACCCTATACACAAACTATAAAGCCATAACACCACACACTCAAACCGAAAAATAACAACTCCTATTCCAAGAAAAATATAAGAATAAAATGATATTGATATAATATGATCTACAAAAAAAATACAAAAATAAGATAAACGAAACAGAAGAGTAACACGATGTAAAATAACACAAGTCAAAATAAAAAAAATACCAATCTGACAAAGAAAAAAAATATTTGAAGGACTCAATTCATTCAAGTAAGTAACGAACAAATTAACAGTATAAAACTCAAAATAAATTAACACATACAAAAATCATAAAATATACCGAAACATAAATGTTTACTAACAATATTGACACTCACAAACATACTACTAAATGAAGAAGTGCAATATATAAAAACAAAAACTATGAAAGGTAAAATATGCATATAAGCAAATGAAAATATAAGAAGAGCATAATTCCGTATAATAAAAATACTGATATATTTTAGATAAACATGGTTACACAGTTGATACTAGAAATAATGAATGACTATAAATCAATAAAAATAACATCATAAATATAACAATCTACGTGAATATACTATAATGAAAAGAGAATAGTAATTATAAAAGAATAAAAAAGTAAAACACAACACAAGTAATAAAAATAATGAATAGAGAATGAACAACAAACAATGACACGATAAAAGACATATGTTAGCCTTCTTGTTTTGATGATGTTTAACAAATAATTTACCACTAATGTTGTTTGTCTAGTATTTATGTTTTTCTTATTTATTATAGACAAACAACGTAGTTGGAGGATGGATGGAATAGAGCTTCAACGATCATATCCAAAGGAGGTTGGAGGATTTGTGGTGAAGCCTTGCTATTCAAAGTTCAAGATCCAAGTTAAAGCTTCATCCGCGAGATTACCTAGAAGAGCTTATTGAAGATCAAGATCTAGCTTGGGTAATTTAGTTTAGGATTTATATTATGTGTGTTATATACTCTAAGCTCAATTATCTATACACACACATTTATTGGTTTCTTCGTATATATATATATATATATATATCAAGCTTGGGTATATTTAGTATAGGTTTATATTATGTGTGTTAGATACTCTAAGCTCAAGATCTTATACACACACATTTATTGGTTTCTTCGTATATATATATATAGTCATATATATATATATAAGTTTTGGTTTCTATGCATATATATAGTTATATATATACATACATGTGTTTTGGTTTTTATGATATTACATATTTCATACTCTATTGTGTTTTAGTATTTATTGCATAGAATATGTAATTTTGTGAAAGTATTGTCTTACTAGTTTATAGACTTCAATATCAGTTTATACATGTTTTACTAAGTCTATAAAAACATTTCACAAAGTTTCAAAAGTTGGTTTATGTCAAAACATCAAAATTCAAGTATGTCATATTTTCATGTTTTGGATTAGTTTGTAAAATGATAATATTTTTCATTTGGGAAGTCCTTTTTGATATTATCATGTTTATTATCATGTCTACAATCATTCCCCAAAGTTTTACATTTTTTGGAATTTATTTGATATTTTTTAACAGGGTTTTAAAATCAGCTCTAAAACCGATTTTTCTAGAATGTCAGTTTTCGGTCGACCGGTACGGTCGACCGGTCAATTGACCATTCGTCAGTATTTTTCCAGAGAATCATCGGTCGACCGGTCCGGTCGACCGAGAGCTCAAATCGGTCGACCGACAGAATTTCCGGTCGACCGACGTTAGTCCAGAAAGTTTTCTTCGTGTTTTTGCTCTCATCGGTCGACCGACGGGATTTTCGGTCGACCGACAATATAGCCGTTGTCTTTTAACGGCTCTTTCTCTGAGCTGTTTGCTGGGGTTTTTGGTCATTTTGTTTTGGGGGTTTTTGCTGAGATTTCTAGTGGGTATATATACCCCATTGCTGATGTCTTTTAAAACTGATTAAGAGAGTTTTAAAAACAAGTTTAAGAAAGTTTTAAACAAGGGTTTGAGTTTGTTTAGTTTGTTTTTGGGGTTTGCTGTTACAAAGAGGAGTTTGCATCACCAGTTGAGGATTTCATCCTCAAAATCTTCTCATCCTCTCTTTGTGTTTATAGAGAAGTTTTCTAACTCTTTTCCCTAGCAATTTCATTATTGATTTATCATATATTAATTATTGCTAGTTTGCTATTTGAGTTAGATTTCATTTTACTCATTGTTACACACACCCACATTGAGCTTTTAGTATTTACATACATAGTATAGTTGGGTGGTGAGAGTTTGTAACTTTGAGTTGTGCTTAATTTGTTAGTGGATTTCTCCCCGGGAGGGGGGAGCGGAGACGTAGGACGGAAGGTCCGAACTCCGTGATCATATCTTGTGTTTGAGTGTGCTTTGGCGTTTATTTATACTTGTGTTTATAATTCTTGTCGCCATTGTCATTAGCTCATTATTTATATGATCCACTATCTAGTTCATATTGTTTACCCTTGTGTTAGTTTATATATCCTTGCATATATCATATAGTATACCTCTTTGCTAGGATATATCACCTTGTGTATATTGCATATTCTTGCACTTAACTCTTTGTATATCTATCTTGCAAGAATATAACTTGTTAATATATTAATTGGCATAAAATCGGATTAGATTAGCATAAGACCCTAATCACCCCCCTCTAGGGTCTAACAACATAAATATCTAAAAATACCATAAAATTAATACTGAAAAATAACATGCATATACAATATATATTGTTACAATGACAAAACAATACATATCGAAAACGAAGCAAACGACAACAAATTTGCAAATACACTATAAGCAAACCATGAATAAATACTTTACATACTCACAATTGCTATTTAGAATAATCTTTTATATTAGTTATAAAAGAATAATAACCAATGATATGAGATAATGTAACAAAACTAACAAAACTATATAATTAATAACTCAATCCAAACCTAACAACATGAATAAATACTTAAATATCAACATAGAAATACATAGCTCTTAGAAATAACAAAACCAATATGAACATATTAAAACAACCTAAACAAGACAAAACTGACTGATAAGATAATTATGTACTGAAAATGTAAAGGATAAGAATATAGTGCATATGTAGAATATTAAAATCATGAACTTATTAAAGTATATCATAAAATATGAACACTATACAATAATTTAGAACAGAAGTGAAAGATATATGGTATGATAGAAAAGCGTGCACATACACAATATAGATATGCAAAAATATATTTTAAACATAAGAAAAATAATCTGAATATCAGATATAATATGTAATGTATATGAGGAGTCTAGAGCAATGCAAAACATTTAATAACATGATCTGAATAATTGAGATTATATAAGTAATGATATATATTTTTAATAAAAAATATACAATATAACACTATGGGTGATACATTAAATAATGTATAAATGATGCAGAAATCGATACAATTAAATGATTTATAAGTCAAATCAAAGAAATATAGTTATAAAAATAATAACACATAAATAATGACCGGTACGAGGATAGAGGAGAGATACAAAAAAGGGTAATCGCGAAGCGATGGGAAAAGAACCGTGGAAAACTTTGGAGTCAAAGAGTGATAAGATATGGCCGAAATGAAATCTATCAAGAAAATAGGATAAGGGATCAAGAATAGTCTCATGGATTACATATGATATGTGTCTAAATTATCCATTATATTCTCACTAGTGGGAATTCGGGATCGGGACCGGGTCCGTGACTTGCATGGGCCACCAAAAAAACCAGTCACACCCCGCTTCCCAAAATACCCGGGAATCGAAACATGAACAAGGAGAATAAATAAAAATAAATATTTTTCCTAAACCTAATACGCTAAGCGTCAAGAAATAAATAAAATGCGAAGTCATAAGTCCCCGATCACAGTTAGCAAGAATATAATAGACAAACTCAGAATAAAATAATCCATATCACAAGCGAAATCAACATGAACAAAATAATCCATATCAGTCGCCTTTTCTTTTGGGATTTCTTTAGTCGCCTTTTCCTCGAGAATTATTTTTGTAACATGTTTCAACCCCTATGGGCAATGCTAATGAGGTTGCCAGCGATGCTAAGGCGTCTGTATAAGCATTCTGAGCTTGAGGAATATATCCAATGAATAAATCTTTGAACTTCCGAGCTTGCTTTAGCACTGTGAAGTAATACGAGAGTAAATCCTCATTACGTACTTCGTATTCTCCACAGACTTGATTTACGATGAGCTGAAAGTCACCATATGCTTCAAGGTGTTGAATGTTAAGCTGCTCAGCAAATTGCATCCCTAATAGTAGAGCATTATACTTAGCTACATTGTTGGTGCAGGGTGCGATCAAAGAAAATCCTCTTGGAATCACGTGACCGTTTGGAGAGATGAATACTACTCCTACTCTCGTGGTAATTGCTCCTTGAGGGTTTGCTCTGGATGCACCATCAAAGAATAACTTCCACACTTGCATAACTTCTTGGGCTACGCAAGCTTCAGCGACTTCATCAGGTAAGTCTTCATACAACCTAGATGGTCCTGGTACCGGATGATCAGCTAGGAAATCTGCCAATGCTTGACCTTTAACAGCCTTCTGGGGCATGAATTGCATGTCGTATTGCGACAGGAGAATAGCTCATTTTGCTAGTCGGCAATTTAATGAAGATGATTTCGTCATAAAAACTCTCAAAGGATTTAACTTTGAGATGACATGAATGGTTTGTCCAAACAGGTAATATCGCATCTTTTGGACAGCGAACACCAGGGCGAGATATTCTTTTTCTACTGGATTATACCGGTGTTCAGCTCCCATCATGGTCCTACTTAGGTAGTAGATTGCATGCTGTTACCCTTGGTCATTGTTCTGTGCTAATAAAGCTCCAAGAGAATGGTCCATAGCCCTTACGTATAGCAGGAAGGGTTTTCCTGATATCGGGGCCACAAGAACGGGCGGTTGAGTAAGATATCTCTTAATCTCCTCAAATGCCTTCTAGAAGTCTCCATCCCAAACAAAGGATACCCCTTTCTTCATGAGTTTAGAGAAAGGTTGGAAACATCCCGAAAGGTTAGAAATGAATCTCCGGATATAGGCCAACCTACCTTGCAAACATCGGAGCTCCTTGAGGTTCTTTGGAGGTGGCATGTCTTGCATGGCACACACTTTTTTTTGGATCAAGAGAAATTCCTTTGGATAGAATGATAAATCCTAGGAATTTTCCACTAGAGACCGCAAGAAAAGATTTAGTCGAGTTCATCTTTAGCTGATGTGTTCGCATGATGTCGAACATTGTTTTCAAGTCCGTAAGATGATCTCCTTTGTGTTGACTTTTCACCGCTATATCATCAACATAACATTCAATCTTCTTGTGTAAGTGCTCATGAAAGATTGCGTTCATCATCGCGTTGGTAGGTTGCACCTGTATTTTTCAATCCGAAGGGCATCACTGTGTAGCAATATACCCCTAATGGTGTTCTGAAGGCAGTATGCTTTTCGTCTTCAGGGTACATTTTGATCTGATTGTACCCTAAGAATCCATCCATGAAAGACATCCTCTCATATTCGCAAGTGTTGTCGGTCATGACATCCATGATGGGAAGTGGAAACTCGTCTTTTGGGCAGGCTACATTGAGGTCACGAAAGTCAATACATATCCGGACTTCACTATTTTCTTGGGTACTGGAACAATGTTGGCTACCTAATTAGGATATTGTTCCTCTCTAACAAAGTCCGAATCAATAAGTTTTTTGACTTCTGACTCAATTGCTTCCATGATCTCTGGACGAAACCGGTGTTGCTGTTATTTAATGGGTTTTGTATCCGGATCAATATTGAGACGATGCATGGCTACTTTTGGGTCAAGGCCAGACATGTCTTCATAATTCAAAGCAAAGACATCTATATATTCTTGAATGAGAGATATAAGATCTTCTTTCTTAAAGGGTAATAAGCTTTCACTTTTGAAGATAGGTTTAGGGTCAAATTCATCTCCCATGTTGACCTAGATCACTTTATCTTCAGTACGTGACTCATGCTGTTCGAAACGCATATCCCACAAGATGGTAAGGCGTTTGATCCAAAGGTTGTTGGTTGATTCGATTAATTCTTCGTCACCCCCCGTGTCTTCATCTGAGTGACCAGTTGAAACCATGTTAACGGTTAAACTTTTAAAGAAAGGTCCGACACTAACATCGGATTCCCCTGATAATGTCCCGGATGAATGGTCTTGACACAGACAGACATCGGTTTCATTTTCTGAAAGGGAAGGGGTCATGATATAACCCACACCTCTTCCAATCTTTTGATAGTAATCAGGAGGTTTTCCATCGGGGGTGGGAGACATTCGAACTGGTGTTCGCCTTCCTTTCCCGAAGTTTAACCCTTTCTTCTCATTAAAGTTATAACTCATTTGTTTCATCAAATAGATGGAATTGGTTTCATGATAATGGAATTGAGGAACCCCATTATCTTCTTCTGAACTTTCCTGCTTGAGTAATCTATGTGTGACTTTACCGAAGTAGATCGGCTTCTGCCCTTTTCTTTTGAACGGAACTTTGAAGAAAGCCTTCTGGGCATCTTCCATTTCTCTATCTGTAGTGAAGGATGACTTAATCGGCAATGTAAGTGATGCCTCTACGCATAATATGCGCCACGGGTCGGCACCTGCATCGGTATCATTCTCTATTTGTTCATTTTTAGAGGGCACATCAGACAAGTACGGCAAAATAAAATCTTCATTAATGCACCACTCGCCTTCGCTCGGTACATTATTATTGCTCTCAACCTGACCCATTACATTGAAATTTAACTCCCATGGACAATCTTCTTTAGGCTTTGGCTCGATGTTGGCTTCGTGGCCACTGTCAGCATGTTCTTCAGCTTTCTCCTGAGATTCCAAGTAGAAGAAAGAATCTGTGTGGAAGTTTTCTACCCCTCTGAAAGGGCGCTTCTCAGCGATCAAGGTTCGGACTTCTCCTTTATCATTAACATACTTCATAACCTGATATAGGGTAGACGAAACAATGCAGTTTGCATGAATGCATGGTCACCCTAACAACAAATTATAAGATATGTCTGCATCTATAATGTAACAAGTCACTTCAAACTTGAGATCTCTTATTTGAGACCTGAGCTTGATCTTCCCTAGGCGTGAGTGCTGTTGGCATTGAAACCGAAGATAGTGGTCTGGGTGGTGTTTAACCGATGCATGAGAATCCCTAATACTTGCATGACCTTGTAAGGCATAATGCTAAGTGTTGAGCCTAGGTCGACTTGGACACGACTAATCTCAGAGGACCTAATATACCCTGTGTAGTATAATGGTCTGTCATGTTTATGTTTTACCTGCATATCGTCCTAAGTGAACGATATGCATGGTAGACTTCTTGCTGCTTGCAGACATTACAGGTAGGACTGGGCTTCAGAAGCTTCAAGAGTCGGAGTAACATGTGTAATAAACCTTTCCGTGTTCGTTAAAGCTTCGATTAGAGCTTCCTTGGTGGTTTTGGGCAATCGTAGGAGCTCATAGAGAGTAATCCTGGTAGGAATGTTGGCCAACTGCGCCATGACGTTGAATTGGAAGGGAGCGCTCGATTCCCTGGCTTTCTAGAAAAGATTTTTATTATACCTGGTTTCTTTCTGCTTTCCTTTATTGGTTAACTTATGAGGGACAAAACCCCCAGCGTCTTGGAGCTATTCTTCTGTTTCTTGAGCATGTTGATCATAGTTCCTTAGATAAGTTTTTCCTGACCGGGTGCTAGGGTTGCCTCCTTGATCTACTGCAAGACAAATCCTCTCTTCTTCTGAGTCCGTGAGAGGTTTGACATGATCATCACTCTTATTAATAGAGGGGCTAATCATGTTGGATGACTTAGCCTTACCTCTTTTCTTTTTGGATGAGGTGTTCATCTACTGTTGGTCTTCAACCAGATCGGGATGGACCTACATGATCTCCCCTTCCCAGGTAGTGAGGAGTACCAACCCTTTATCTTTCAGACCATATGGGTCAGTGTTTTTTCATATGCATTTCCCTTTTATAGATGGGGATAACTCCATCTGCAGCGGTAGCCGGAGGGAAGTTATCGAACTGGACCGCTATCAAATTAGTAGATACAGTCTTCTGCTCGGACTTTAATGTAAGTACATTAGCATTCACCAAATTTTGTGGGATATCCTTGAAAACATAGCATTTTCTGGTAGGATGTCCCAGAAACCTGTGATAACGGCAGTAATTAGGATCGCCCACTTTTCCTGCCTCATCTAGTTTCTTGATCTCGGGAAGTTGTAGTTTATTGTTCTTCCGAAGTAGTTGGAACAAAGTGTTCACATGCTCCTATTTAAACGAGTACTGCTTAGGCACTCTTTGCTGATTTGGTGCTTTTCCTTGCTTGGCAGGTGATGCCTACGTGCTGGCATCGGCAGCCAAAGTCTCCTTTCCCTTGGACCGCAGAGTATTGTTTTGGTAGCGTTGTTGTTGTGGCTTAGGTTGGGTAGCTTCTTCAGCTTTGACCTGAGCAATGATTACTTTGGCTTTTTCTCCTTAAGAAACAAATTGTCTCCAGGAGCAACATTCCGCCACCCTCATTTGAGCAAGGAGCTGGGTCTGCAAGTTATGCCTGCAAGTTTCGACCAAAGTAGATTGGGTCATACCTGATGGGCACCGTAATGCCAAGCTGTGGAATCTTTCCACATAAGTCTTGATGGACTCTCCCTTCCTCTGCTTGGTGACTAGAAGGGTCGGGACAAACACTTCCGTATCATCTTCAAAAAATCTGGCTAAGAAGAGTCTTTCCAAATCCACCCATTTTTTAATAGATCCAGTAGACAGTTTTATAAACCATTCGAAGGCAACTCCTTTAAGAGTGCTGATAAATAGAAGAGTCAGAATGGCGCCGTTTGCTACCACATCTCCGGTCTGTGACTTGAAGTAGTAGATGTGTTGATTTGGCGATCCTATACCGTCGAAAGGTTGCAAGGTCGGGCCTTAAATTTTGGTGGATAGGGAGTNCAGCAGGATAAGGTCGTACTACTCCTTCCTCGTTAAGCTCGCTCCTGTTAGCAATCGCATTGAGGCGAGCCTCTAGTTCATCCATCTTAGACGACTGAGGATTTTGCTCCTTATCTGTTTCTTTCACATTTTCAGATGAAGACTCTAGGTTGTGAGTCTCACATTCCGAATTTTGTTTTCCCTTCGAAATTATCCTCCGGGAAGATTCAGGTTTTTGGCCTCTTTCTGTAAGGAGCTGGGCCAGCATATCCTTCACTTGGACAAGCGTCTCTTGTTGTGCCTGGATCATAACGTGATGTTCATTAACTATCTTTGCTAAGTCGTTGGAGCTTCCAGTCATGTAAACGGGAGTCTCACGTGCCACGACGGAGCTTGAGGATTGAGAATCCGCAATTACTGAATGTTCATCATCTGAAGCAATCCCCTCGGCTAATCTTTGATAGCTAATTGGGCGGATAGCTCCTGTATAAGTCTGAGTGCGCCGATATACTCCTTCAAACTCGTCACAAATTTCCTGGATAGTCAGGGAATAACTTATCTCCGACTCATCAGAACTAGGAGCTGAAGCCTTCCCTCTGCCGATCACGTTAATAGTGACTTCAGGATA